GCTTCTCCTACACAAGTGAGAAGTCAGGTATGGACAGCTGAGGGACACGGCATGTCATTTTTTGGGGGTCCACATAATAATATAGATTCCCTTTTCCAACCTTCTTTTTGCTTTTGTTTTGTGTTTGTCCTTTTCTGTATTTTTAACAAAGGGTAGGATGGAAGGTGAGACAAATAAAATCAGAGAGGGAAAAATACATAAAAAAAAAACATTTCCCACAATATCTGAAAATCATAGTTCTTGTCGAGACATATGAATTCTGGATGAATTAGTTTTCCTAGTTTTCAACACTAATACAGATTTTGCAAAAGTTGGAACTGTCACAACACTCATCTTCTAGATGGAATAGCCTTCTTTCCTGTTCCTTGCATGACTCACTTTTCATGAGAGAAAAACAGTGTGTTCTCAGGAACACTTCTTGGAAGCATTAAGTGTTAACAGTGAGGCAGGGCTTAGGACACTATACACTGTAGATGTGTTTTCACAAATACAGAAGTTTTAGCCCAGTGGGCAGTACCAGCATATGTTTCTAACAACATCCATACCCCTGGAACAGACCAAGTGGTTCTGCTAAATTCTTTCATCTTTTTGTTCCCCTTTTCTGAAAAATGGACATCTTTTTTCTTTTGCTCCCCTTAACTTTTCTCCAGGCACCTGGGGATGGGTTGGCTCTGTCAGAGGCAGGCGGTTTCTGACAGTGCCACTGGAATGTGCTGTGCTGGACCATTGTCAGACTGGGCCACAGCAAAGCAGGGAGGGAGATACCGCACAGGATTTTCCTTTGGTGCAACAGCCAAGGATTGGAACTTCTATTTCTGAGGCCCAAAAATTATTTAGTGCTGGTTTAAACTCTGGGGTGTTATGTCCCTGGTGCAGGCAGGGAGTCACTGGCCCAGCCCTCATTTTCCCAGCCCTCTCTTTCTCTCCCCAGGGTCAAAAGAAGAAGTCAGACAAGAGGACAAAGCAAGAAACAATTTTATTGATAGAAAACAGTGGGAGAAATAAAATGGCACTCCAATGTTGGGGGGTGAGCTGCATGACACTGGGGAAAGCCAGCGGTTCTGAGTTCACGGGGCTGAGGATGTGGTCCCTCTTTCTGGGAGCAGCCCCACCCCATCAGTTGGTTGTCTCCCTTGGGGTTCAATACAGCAACAATCAGGGTGGATGATGTTACAAACTCCAGATGCTCTTTGCTTATAAATTCCATTTTCTGGATATTGCAGAAGTTACTCTTCTCCTAAATTCCAATGGACCAGTGTCCTTGTTATAACCTTTCAGGGCAGGGGGGGACCCCATATATCACTACAGGGTCACTAAGCAGTCTTTCCTCACAGCACAGTGAAATCCGCACAGATTGGCCTGTCTTCCTGCTGTTCGGTTGCTATTGCTCCGGGAAAATAAATGGAGTCTTACAACAGCCTGGGTCTTAGGTCTTCTTGAGGCGCTTGCAAGGGGGCCCCAGCAAAGGGCATGGCACCCTAGCCAGAGAGCCATAGGCTTCAGCCACCAATTCAGGGTAGGTCGCCACCAGGGACTGCCACCCGGAGGTCTCCAGGATGTCGGAAACATGGTAGTTGATGAAATCCAATGCCTGAGTTTTCAGCTGATGCGCGCTGTGGAGATCAGCCAGGGTGAAGATTTCCACGGCGTTTTCCACGGAGAGCTGGCTGCAGAGGGCTTCCTCACACATGACCTTCAGGCGTTCCAGGGCGTACTTGTCAGCAGCTGCCAGCAGATCCTGCGCCATTCTGTGAAGGTTTGGCGCCTTCCCGGTGTAAATAAAACCCAACATTTCCTTAAAGACCTCAGGCTGCACATCGTTGATTTCCACTCGATTCTTATATGCTCTCTTGCATTTCATGTTCAAACATGGCACTAAAAACTGGAGATCGAGCTGCCAAGATGGCTTTGTGAGCCTGGAATTCCTGACCAGCCACACACAAGCAGCAGTCTGTGAACCGGGAACTCTCCCACAGCCCTCCTAGCTCCTCTGCCAAGCGACACTCAGGAACCTTCACTGCATTCCTGGTTTTCTGGCCAGAAGTGTAGACACAACCTTGTACAACACTCATCTCACACAAGAGGCTAAGCTTGTCCTCAGGGAGAAGCCCGCTGGCCTCATCCAAAAGAACATCTCTATGGATGAATTTTCTGAATCCCCAACCAGTGCCTTGCAAGAATCTCAAAGTTGCTGGGCACTCCACACTTCGAATCTCCTCTCCCTTGGCATTCAGAATGGAAAATTTGAATCTTGCCCAAGCTACACTCACTGGACACCTCACCAGTATCAGGTAAAGGGACAGGTAATCTTTGCTTTCTTCATCCAGCCCTGTTGGGTTTACTTGTAAGCACCATTTCCTTTCATCTTCAGCTCCAGATGAAAAGGTTGAACTGTCAATGGATTCACCCATCTGCCCTTGGTAAAAGCGAAAGTTACTGATGGTCCAGGAGAAGGACAGTTTCATTACTTGCATCTCTGTGGAGCACCAGCTCTCGGCTACTGGGCCACAGGACATTTCTCCTGGAGGTGGAGTATATGGGAGCCTTAGCAGTACCAATTTGAAAGCTAAACAATGCTCCCAAAGTCACGTGCAAAGATTTCTGTTCCTTTTGCACCAGTTGGTAGAGTGTTCAGTCCAGGCAGCAGCTTGGAAACAGGAAGGATGGCATTGCTGTCAGGAGTCAGAGATCCTAATTTGGAGATTTAAAAAAAAGTATTTAGAAATTGATTCACCAAGACTTTTGAGTAATTCAGAAGCTTCTAAGAAATGTGGCATCCCCTGGGAAGAAAAATATCCTTTACAAAGTTTCCTTTCTGCTGCCTGTGGTGTTGCACACCTATGATGCAAGCACTCAGGAGGCTGAGGCAGCTTGGTAACTTGAAGTTGGAGGCAAGGCTGAACTACACAGCAAGGCCCTGTCTCAAAGACTTAAAAAAAAAAAACAATAAATCTTTGGATGATGTTACATGACAGTGGATTTTGTTTTTGTTTTTGGTGGTACAGGGGATTGAACCGTGAGCCTTCACCCTTCATTATTTTTTCTATTTAAGGGCAAGAGGTGTACCTCAGTGCCACTACACCAGCCTAGAAAACACAAGGTTCTGAGTGTGATTCATGGCACCAGAAAGAACAATAACATTTTTAAAATGTTTGAGATAGGGTCTCAATAACTCACTAGATTGCCAGGCTGGTCCAGAAGTTGCACTCCTAATGCCTATGCATCCAAGAATGCTGGGATCAGAGGAATGTGCCACCTTTACTGACTCAGTAAAACAAGTTCTCTAGAAACACCTGCCCATTGCTATGAAGATTCCAAAACAGCCCAAGGCTAGGCCCTGGGTAGCTAGAGTGTGCTTCAGAGAAATGGAGCCCACTGAAATTTTTCCGAGGCCCTTGTGATCTGGGCCTCCCTAAACTCATTTATTCCAGCTCCATCTTAGCCTACAGAAGCATATTGTTCTCCAAAGGACCTTGGAGTATGAAGGGTTATGAACCTTGCTGAGGATGTGAGATGGAGAAAGTGAGTGTCTCTCTTTTTCATCCCTAGTCTGGTCTTAGGAAGTTGTGACTTGGACAGTTGTGGTCCATCACTACCCCTGTTCCCCTCTGTTTCCTCCTGCATTCAATCTGAATGGGAAAAATTGTTTGACTCTCCTCCAGGGCTATCAAACCTCCAACTTGACTGCAACATGAGTGCAACCCTGGCGAGATGAGGTAGATTCCCCACCGCAGGCTCTTCATTGGATACTGTTACATTTTGTTGAGGACACACAGGGTACAGGCAGCAACCCAAGTCAGGGTAAGGGGGAATTGAGTCCCTTTTCTGCATGCCGAGCCTTCACAGCTAGCCTTCAAGAAGAATCCCTGCCTTACCCCCTCACCCTCCCTGATGCAGGTGTGTCACCACACAGGGAAGGAGAGCAGCAAAAGGAGAAATGCAGCTAAGGAAAAAGCAAGCTTGATCAACACAAGGGAAGAAAATTGCTGTGGAGGACATAAGAGTCTCAGAGAGAGGTCCTTGGTGATACCATTCCGAACCTGTAGCTCACCCTCTATCTTAATAATCACGGGGATATCTGATAAGTTTCTGTATTGTTTGCTATTGGAAATCCCAGGTAGATTAAATAAGCAAAAAAAACATACAAGGGCTCAATAACTCATTTACCGTGCTAAGTAAGCTTCATGGATTAGGTTTCTTATAAGCCAAAGCACCCTACCTGAAGCAGGCCTGCGTGCATGAGCCCGTGCTTACAAGAGAAACAATTTCAATGAAAGGTATCTAATACGCAAGAATTTACAAGATTGACTTACAATGGCTGTCTGCAGAATCACCTGAGGGAGAGCACAAAAGGCTTGTCTCACAGCAGAAAACCAAGGGTCTCCTTGAAGGCCTGGAGATCAGTGTTTTGTTCTTTGTGAATCCGGGTCAGAGACTGTACAGGAGATAGAAGGGTCTGTGCTGAGAGGCACGAGAGACATCCAGGTGCAAGTGAAACCTGGAGCTCTTCAGAAGACACAGAAGACACCCTTCTTCCTTCATTTCCCATTTATATCATTCAGGCAACAATCCACCCTAGGGAGGGTCTAGGGAGGGTCTTGCCACCCTATGTTGATCCCAGTGAGTTGGGTGTGTCACACTCACATTGGCAGAATCAGTGAAGTATCACACCACCCATGTTTTCCATATATTTAAAGGTCCTGTTTTGCTACTTCTGAGCTTCTTCTTTCTGATTTATTTATTTATCATTTATCTGCTTGTCTCCCTATGTTCTCCAGGCTGCCCTCCATCTCACAGTGATCCTTCTGCCTCAGCCTCCAATGTGCTGGGATTACAGCCAAGCCCAACTCCCAGGCAGGGCTCCTGTTCTTCACACTTTGAAAGAAGGGGCAGAGGATTAGGTGGTAGAATGAGAGCTGGATATGAGGCTGTCTGTGAGAGATGTTTGAAGTCAGGAAAAGGTGCACTCATTTGCATCAGGATCCAGTTCAACATCACCAGCCTGTCTTTCAGGGGTGGCCTGCAACTTGATAACCTGAGAGGCTGTATTATCCATGGTAGATGATTGATACAGGAAATGGTCATTTTCTGCATATTACTATTGTACTTCATTGCCTTACTAACTGGGCAAATTTAGATTCTGTGAGTACTATCATATCATTGAAATAGTGAAAGTTTTACCCCCCAGTTCTTTCCAAGTTTTCTAGCTCTGCCTTTGCAATCAACTTGCATTAGCCAGAACTTTCAGTGAA